ACCAGGTCAGTGGTGAGCCGATCATCACGTGAGCAGCTCTCCACACCCTGCTGTCGAGCCCCGCAGCCCCCCTCGCTAGGGCCTCAGCATTCCCTACCTGGGCTACTGCATTGGGCTCCTAACTGTTCTTCCTACTCCCAGACCGGTGCTCATTAAAATTACAGACAAGTATACAAATCGTCTAGGACAACTGTGCAGAAAACAAACACTTACTCTGCCAAACACTCGTCCAATAAAATGTACTCTTTTCCTGACATGGCAAGAGAAAGAGAGAGGGAAGGGGGCGTCTTCATTTTGTGGGTGATAATTCCATCCACGAACACTAGGATACTGTCAGATCGCATGTGTTATCCTCTCTCCCTCCCCGCCCCGTTCCTTCCTTTTCTTCCTTCTTTGCTCTTTCATAAAGTCCTATTTATTAATTCTGCCAAAGTCCACAGCCCTAGGTTCCACTTAGACTAAGAACACCTTGTGTTGCAGGGAATGCGGCTGGGAATAAAGACCACACTCGCAGCCCCTTTTTGGGTAGAAGAGATTAATTTCTTTCCTGCTGGATGATTAAAATTGAGTGCCCATTGACCTATGTTTTGGGGCTGCTTTTTCCACAAGCGTGTATTTCCTGCAAGTTTATTGTCAGCAGCCCCCACCTGGGATTACGGTTTCTGATATTCCCTCTTCAGCCCTTTGCTGTTTTGTGTAGAGTTGTGCCCTTCCTGTTCCAAACGCGGGAACTGTGAAGGACAGAGGCAGAATTGTGTTAGAATAATTAGGATCAAATGCCGACTCTACACTTGCTAACTATGTGGGGACGGGGTCTTATTGATATAATTATATATATATTAAGACTGACGTGGGGCAGCTGCATGGCTCAGTCGGTTGAGCGTCCGACTTTGGCTCAGGTCATGGTCTCACAGCTTGTGAGTTCGAGCCCCCCGTCGGGCTCTGTGCTGACAGCTCGGAGCCTGGAGCCTGCTTCGGATTGTGTGTCTCCCTCTCTCTCTGCCCCTAACCCACTCGCATTCTGTCTCTGTCTCTCTCAAAAATAAATAAACATTAAAAAAATGAAAAAAAAAAAAGACTGATGCAACAGTCAGCTTACACCCGGTTTCTATCGTTATGAGTGTTTATTATTTACTATAGGTAGCCATGGTTAATTGATGTTCCTCAGGCTTCCAGTAAACTTAGGAAGCCTTTTAAGATTCCTAAGGAATTCCTTGGGAATTTCAAGGGAGTCTCTCTGGGCATTAGCTGCCATTTCTGCTAACAACTCTTATACATACACTTGCAAATGCCTATCACTTCACTTACCACATCGTTTCAAGATTATTGGATAGATCCATCCTTCCAACAGACTACAAGCTCCCAAGTGGTCAGATGTGTGCTTTATTTCCTTTTGTATCCCTCTGAAACATGTAACCTAATTCTTCAGTGATACCTGCTTCTATGCCCCTAAAGGCAAGGACAGAGATTTGAAGGTCGAACTTTGACTTTCAGAGTCTTAAACTGAAACAGATTGGATCAGGCTTCTGAGAAGCAGCGCAGTGGAAGTAAAGGCAGGGAAGAAATAGGAGAAGTGAAGAACAAAAACCCTGCCGTGCACAGAATCCAAAGGGCTTGCGACAGAT